CCAAGCGCCTGGAGAATGCTAAGATCCTCATCGCCAACACTGCCATGGACACCGATAAGATTAAGGTGTGTTTCAGGACATGAATCTTGCTCGTCACCTGACAGTGGACCAGCACCATTCAGTCCCGTAATGGAGGAAGACACTTTATTTTATAGGCATGGTTTGAACCGTAGCTTACAAGTGTTTTGATCTGCATATGGTGAGAAGCTTATTTTTCTACTTAAAATCACGTAGTGCAGTGAACAGTTGCTTAGACCACGTGGACCTGAGCTCTTACGATTGATTGGCTGTTCAGTCTGCTTGCAGTAGGATGCAAAGGCATCTCGCCGACTTCATTTACATTCCTGTGTGTCACCCTGAGGGAGCATATTGTTGATGGAAGGAAACGGGGACACTGCTAAAGACATCTGCTTACCGGTCTGATGGGGAGGGTTGATTGAACCGAGGTTGATGTGAGACTGTACATCCTTCTCCTCAGATCTTTGGCTCGAGGGTGCGTGTGGACTCCACGGCCAAGGTGGCGGAGATTGAGCTGGCAGAGAAGGAGAAGATGAAGGAGAAGGTGGAGCGAATCCTCAAGCACGGCATCAACTGCTTCATAAACAGGTAGAGCCTCCCACCCACTTGAGGGCGATAGCGAGCAGCCACCTGAGGTTCTCCTGGTGCCTGCCACATGCTGGCACTTCCCAGATTTATGATCTTGCGGTGTGACCTACAGGCAGCTGATATACAACTACCCAGAGCAGCTGTTTGCGGCCGCTGGAGTGATGGCCATTGAGCACGCAGACTTTGCTGGGGTGGAGCGCCTGGCCCTCGTCACAGGTGCGTTTGTCTCCACAGCTTGAGGCCACCCTGCTGCATCTAGGAGGGCTTCAGTGTCTCTCTTATCATTCATGAGGAGGAGAAGAGCTCTCTCATTGGAGCATCTGCATAGATACTATGCTATACTATACGGAGTTACTTTTTGGCAAAAGATTTATTTGTGAGAGAAGTGTTGGATATGTATTTCACCAAATGATCAACCCAATTTTGTCTTAAGCGTACAAAATCTCTGCTGTTGCTCCACCAAACGAAAGAAACTGGGACAGGGGCAGATGATGCACTACTCCTACTTTCCTAAGTAACCCAAAAACAGGCCCTGGAGAGTGAAACACAAAAGCCCCCCTACATCCGACCCTCCAAACTAGGTGTGGAGAAGATGAACACCAACCAACAAATAGTGGCAACCAGATATACAGTAACACTGGGACCAAGATCCTTAAGAAGTTACTGCACTTGAGGGTCTAAATTTGCCTCAGTCTTCATTTTTACCAACTGTTCAATGTAAACCTTCCAGACACATTTTTAATTTGTGTGTCTTTCAGTAAACTACTTTAAACAGAGTATTGTACATTGTAAACGGGACTAAAACAGGTCACAATCGAAACACCAGCATAACTATAAAAATTCCACCCAGAGTAGAGCTGACCTGAGATCAGAATTGTAAACTTGGCTTTTATTACCATAAAAATGGCAGCCACATGGCTTTGACTTATGATTGGTCTGTCTGCTCTTGTATTGGCTGATTTTCAGTTACTCAACACATACTGGCCATTTCCTGAATGCTTTATTCTGGGCCAGTTTGCTCTTTCCAGCAACTTTGATGAATTGTATGTTGATGTTCAGTGAGCTGAAATCCCTCCCTTTCAGGTGGAGAGATCACCTCCACCTTTGACCATCCCGAGCTGGTGAAGCTGGGCCATTGCAAACTCATTGAGGAGGTGATGATTGGTGAAGACACCCTGATCCACTTCTCAGGCGTAGATATGGGTGAGTACTTCATACTACGAGAATGATTGGGCGCTCCAGGAACTAAGGGCTGGATCTGAAGGTGCTCTGAATTGTTCTGGATGAGGTTCCACATGTGTGAAGGCCATGATGGGAGCAAAGATATATGGTGGAGGTGTAGTGTAGTGTAGTATGGATTATTTAATTGAATTGGCAGTAAACACTATGGTCTTGTGTAAAAGAATAGTGTAATTTCATTATTATCCTCAACAGCTTGATCTTTAAATGTATTAATCCTGATTTAAATTGACATATTTGACCATGGATCTTTTTGAATTGAAGTTTTTAATGGTGTATAAGTAGGGTTGCAAAGTGGTGGAAAATTTCTGGAAACTTTCCAGAAACTTTCCATTCCATGGGAAGTTAAGCTAAGGAATTTTGCAAATACTCCAAGATGGAAACTTTGCATGGGAGTTACCGGGAAGGTATGGGAATTAACAGAAAATTCCCAGAATTTTGCAACCCTATGTACAACATGCCAGTCACTTGTAAGGCAGCGTCCCTGTCACCCGGTGACGTGTGAGTTTATTCTCCGCTGGAGGGTAGCTTGTCTGAGGCCCCGTCTCTTTCACCCAGGCGAGGCCTGTACTATAGTGCTGCGCGGGGCCACCCAGCAGATCCTGGATGAGGCGGAGCGCTCGCTGCACGACGCCCTCTGCGTGCTCTCCCAGACCGTCAAGGAGACCCGCACTGTCTATGGAGGAGGTTGGTCCCGCCTCCCATACCTTGTGACCCTTACTGATAGGTTACTTTATAGGTTGGTCCCTCCCTGCGTACCACATGAGCCTTACTGATAGGTTACTTTAGCAGTAACTTCTTTGTTTTCGCTCTCCCCATAGGCTGTTCTGAGATGCTGATGGCCAATGTAGTGACAGACCTAGCCAACAGAACCCCTGGCAAGGAAGCGGTTGCCATGGAGTCCTTCGCCAAAGCACTGGGAATGGTTAGTACCCATAGTGGTGGTCGGTGTCTCCCAGGGAGAGAGGCCTTATCTCTGGAGTCTCCCTTCCTCCATAGCTGCTTCGAGTTTCAGGGACTCCCTGTGCTGGGCTAATTGTGAAGCCACTAAAAGCATATTGTCCTTTGCAGCTGCCCACCATCATTGCAGACAACGCCGGGTACGACAGCGCCGACCTGGTGGCTCAGCTGAGGGCGGCGCACATGGAGAAGAAGAGCACCTTTGGGCTGGGTGAGTTCATGCCGTGTGTGTTGCGCAGAGGTCTGCATGGTATTTGAGACCCCCCCCCCCCTTCGTACAAGTATATCTGAAGGAGAAGAGGCCACCCCCATCACCGCAGAAGCTGGAATTCACCGGTTTCCATGGTTTCCACTGCAGACATGACCCAGGGCACTGTTGGTGACATGGCAGAGCTAGGCATCACAGAGAGCTTCCAGGTGAAGCGGCAGGTGCTGTTGAGTGCCGCAGAGGCCGCAGAGATGATCCTGCGCGTGGACAACATCATCAAGGCCGCACCCAGGTCAGCCCCCACCTCCATGCACGCACACACACATGCTGTCTACACATTCTTATCTTTATGGGGACTCTCCATTTATTTCTGTATAGCCCTAATCCCACCTATGACAACCTTAAACCCTGCCCAGCCCTAACCTCTAACTCTGTTGGTTATTTTGGTGGTTTGTTGACATTCATAGATTTTTTTTATTTTTTTTTTTTATTGAATTGTTTTTATTTTGGGGACTGGAAAAAATCCCCACAAGCAAAATGGTAATGAATGTCCCCACAATGTGGTAAACACACACACACACGGTGTACTCTGTGTTTAAAGAATCACAACTGACCACACAAAGTATTACAACTGACAGGTAGCTTGTCGCCTGGACGTACAGGATGCATGTGAAATGCATGAAGGGTTGGTATGTGTGACACAGGAGTGGTATTATAAAACTGAAATGAAAATTCATTTTCATTTGCTGATACAAAACAAGGTACGAGAATAAAATATGAAACTCCAACTAAAAGAAAACTATAAATACTCCCTCTGAAACCGATTAATTGTTAAATATTTTACGTCTCTGTTTTTTAGTGCTATGTAGCTAAAGTAATAATTTTGTGTTTATCTTGGGTTATCTCTAATACCTGTGACATGTTTTGCCCATTTTGTGCAGAGGTGGAGATTTCAGGTCCAGAGAGTACAAATCCAGACCAAGATTTTGTTTCACTCTGTGACTCTATACTCAACTGGTTGGGTGAAACAAAATCTTGGTCTGGATTTGTACTCTCTGGACCTGAAATCTCCAAAATTATGGTCTGGATTTGTACTCCCTGGACCTGATATATCCGCCATGTACGGTTGTCTAAAGATCAGACCTATAAAACAGCTCCACAACTTCCAGTTTATTCCTAGTAATAAACTTGCTAAAACCGAAACTAAAATATAGAAAAATTAAATACAACGTATCTTTAAAATAAAACTACAATACTCCTAAAAAAAAAAAAAAAAAAACACACCTAAAAGTAACAAACTAAATATGATTCTCTCCCTCAGATCATAACTGTAATAGCTTTGGTTTAACTTGAGGCTACCTGCTTACAAATAGCTGATTGCCTCCACATCTCTTTCAGAAAAAGGGTCCCGGACCACCACCCCTGTTAGTGACCTCACGGCGCCACCTGGTGGGGGTTGGGGAACATTTGAGGAACCACTGAGACGATGTAGACCTGTCTGTATTTATGACTTCCAAGGGCAGCCATGATGGCTGCTGCCCTGCGCACGGGCACCTCTGATCGCCTTACAGCACATACCCTGTGTTTATGTAACAATGTCGGATGCCGTTTATTTTGCATAGTGACCTCAGTTTGTTCTTTAAATAAAATACCTGGAAGAGTTGCTCATTCTGCTGTGCATTTGTGAGTGAATTTCTGTACAAGTTTTTGCACTCTGATCATTTCCTCTTGTGTTACTTGTTGGATTCTCGTCTCTAGTAAGGAGGGTAAAAGGCCTCAAAGTTCCATGCTGGGTGGGATTGGTGCTGGGTGCTGTCAGTCACTGGGTAGTCCCACCTACAACCAATGGGATGCTGGGAATTACCGCCTTTAACCTCTGATTCTATCTTTAGAATGCAATTAAAAATTGATACATGCTTCTTTGACAAATTTTGCGAATACATTAAATGCACTTTGGCGACTTCTGTTCATTAAAAGAACCCACTAAAAATAGTTTGATACTTTATTTTCCAGCATTTTGTAAAAGTACATATGAAACTGATCATCCGTGCCACAAACACAGTGAGTTTAAGTGTTGGTTGTGTAATAACTCCAATTTAAAGCAGATAATATAATGTAGGACCGACCAGTGTGACTGATTACAGTTTTAGCTACATGAAGCCAGCAGTAGAGTTGAGAACCACATTACTGTGAATCAAGATGATATTGATGTTGTCTGGCTCTAATAACAGATGGTCTTGAGTTTTTGTTTACAGCTTCTATCAGTTGTTCGGGTCAAGTTTGCGTCCATGTTCCTATATCCACAAAAGGTCAGCAACATTAAAATGCCGCCATTTTGTAAATTGAATTCCACGACATGATTAAGGAGCCAAGCGCTAACGCACTAAGGCATTTCCATTCTGGCGCTGAGTAATTTTCAAACAATGAGAGGGCCTTTATGGACCTTGGAAGAAATTTCCGAAAGAGTATATATCTTTCTCATTAACAGGACCCTGGGAATGGCATGAGAGTCCATTAGTCTTCCGCTGAAACTAAAGACCCAAAATTGTCGACGGGGTTATGCATAATTCAGTACAGGAGGGGGTGCTGGTTGGAATTGCTCATCCATCATCGATGTTCTCTGGTGCCACGCGTTGGCTGTCTTGCCCTGGTGAACCGGTGTCTCTACAGTATCGCGTCGTTCGACACTCAATGAACCTTATCAGTTCCACTGAGTGTCAAAAATGTTTCTCCGGCAAATGTCCAACGCCGACCTCAGGCTGCTCTTGGTACAGTCCTTATGAGGAGAATGGCACACCTTGAAATCTAAGGAATTCAGCTCCTATCTCACAGCTGTCTCTGTCAGAAGGAAGTCGCACCTCCAAATAGCCTCTGGCAACTGAGATACAGGTTTAGCTGTGCATGTCGTTGCCGCCATTATATTCCTGACCGGTGTAATGCTGGACACTTCTTTGTGGTCTGCTCATTTTACCCACAATGCCTTTCAGTGTCTCGTGCCATGTGTAAAGCGTGTCGACTGACCTCTCGTTCTGAGTGCTGATTCCCTGCACAGTTCCCTCGGAACAGTCAAGCTCACCTCTGCAGTGTCCTACTCTGCTTCACTGTGCTTCACTGTGGTTTCAGGCAGCTCCTGCTCCTGCTCCTCCCCCTGTGCCTCTTCGGCCCGCTTCTCCGCCTCTTCCTCCTCCTCTTCGCTGTCGTCCTCACAGTCTGCCCAGCGGCCCACCCGGCGCACGCCCTCGGCCACGGCCGGCGCGTTGATGCACGGGTTGTGGTCATAGATGACCAGCTTGAGGTTGCGCAGATGTGCCAGGCTGGGGAAGCGGCGTATGCGATTGCGGTCCACGTCGATCACGTCCAGCAGCTGCATGTCCAGCAGCACCGGTGGGAACTCTGGCAGCAGGTTCCCCGCCAGCCAGATGCTGCGCAGCTCCCCCAGCCGGCCCAGGTCCCGGGGGAGGCTGCGCAGCTGGTTATAGCCCAGGTGCAGGGCCCTGAGGTTGGGCAGCTCGCAGAGCACCTGGGGGAACTCGTGCAGGCAGTTGGCTTCCAGCCACAGTGTGCGCAGCTCTGTCAGCCAGCCCAGCTCACGGGGCAGCCGCCACAGCCGGTTGTTGCACAGGTACAGCGTGTTGAGCTGTGGCAGCCCACAGACGGCTGCTGGCAGCTCCTCCAGGCAGTTGAAGTCCAGCGCCAGCAGCTGGAGCTCATGCAGCTGGCGCAGCTCAGCCGGGAGGCTGCGCAGGCGGTTGTCGCTCAGGTAGAGGCGCATGAGCTCGCCGAACGCACAGACGGCCAGGGGGAAGCGGCGCAGCTGCCGGCCGCTCAGGTCCAGCACGCGGTCCAGGGGCATCTCCGTCAGGTCGCCAACTACATAGCGCTGGCAGCGATCCGAGGGGATGAAGGCGACCATTCCCCGCACGGCGTTCCCCATTCTCAAACGCCGTGCAGCCAGGTCGCTAACAAGCACAGAGTTTTAGCAGCAACCCCTGTCTGAATAGATAATCCTCTGTCCTTTAGTGTTGTAGATCCTCTGATCTTGGTCCTCATGAATGTGGAGAAAACCTGGATTTCAACAGAGACGCATGGAAGGCACTATCCCAGAACTGCCAGCAGATCCAGCTGGCAGATCGCCTTTGAGGTGTGGCTGTATGTCCAAGCTGCAAACTTTGATTGCCCCCTCCCCCCCTCCTGCCAGGGGGAAGCAGGCCCCCATCATCGCACCCTCTGCTCTCTGTTTAGGGCCGTGTTGGAGCAGGAGGGGGGACACCGGACTGCCCTCCTCTCCATCCCTGCGCCTCTGAAATCTCTGAGCTGCTCTCACCACTGCCGAGTCTGGAGAGGCAGAGATGACGAACTACACCTCTCCACCCTCATCTCCACACCCCCCCCCCCCCCCCCGGGAAGAGAAGAGTCAGCTCTGGTGGGGGGTGGGGGGGGGACTGTGGAATGCGATAACTGTGGACATATAGTGATTATGGAGCTGGACCCTCTGGCTCAGCCTGGCTGGCAGGGGGGTCGGCAGGGGGATCGGCAGCGCCCCCGATTATCGCTGCACCTCAAGTGGCTCTTGTCCATAAATGATTCCCAGAACCCGTGACGGTGAACAGATGCTGCCGGAATGTTCCCCATGAGGCCTCGTCCTGAACAAAGAGGGTGTCTTTGGATTCGGTCGACCTCAGTGGGAGGAAGATGCAGAGTCTGTGAACTTTCCCTAGGAGGTGCAAGTACTGGGAATCGGGTGGGGTTCTGAATGGCAGAGGGTGCCTGCTGATTATCCGCCATGCGCTAGAAATGATTATGGTTCCACTGTCCTCATCACAAGTTGTGTTGTAATAATGACCATAGACATAAGGCATCTAGGTCCATGTTACTAGCAGCATTTAGTTTGAACTCAGTCCTCTCACTACTGCTTCATTCTACTTTTGAGTCCTTAGTCTGTGACTTCCAGGATTTCAAGGTCCTGGTCTTTCGAGATTTTGTCTCTTAATCCTGGAATAGAACGGACAATATAGCCATTAAATAAATCACGGGAAAAGTCTGGCGGCCCGTGATCAGTTCTCCTGGGCTTTGATGTTTTAGCATAGACGTTCAATTACTAACCTTTGTTACAGGATTTTGGGTTGGGCAAACAGGAATATTAACTGGCCACTGAGGAACTTCCATGAAAAGCGTAAATTATGTATCTGATGGAAATGTGTACTGCGCTGGAGCAGGGTGCTTACATCGCTGTGTCCAGGGTCTTTACATCACTCCTGTGGATTCATTGTATCTGTCAGTTTTTGTTCCAGCTGTGAACATGATCTGACTGCACTTGTGCCCAGCCATGTCCTCGTCCAAGGCACTGTTAAGAAATACTCCTGAGAATTTATTTGTTAACATTTTAAAATGCTCATTCAGAACAATACTCCTGTTGCTTCCAAAGGACCAAACAAACACAGAAACTATTCTTAAATATTTACTTTGTGGGCCTCAAATACTTCAGGGACTATTACATAATCTTCTAACCACTTATCACTTGTTTGTTTCAGGGTCATGGGGGGTGGGTGAGGGGGGGGGAGTCTGAACCTATCCCAGACAGCATAGGGTGTAAGGCTGGGGTGCATCTGTGACAGGATGCCAGTTCATCACAGGGCGCAGGCATACATAGCCATGCAATATTTGTGATTTAGAGACACCAGTTAGTCTAACTGCATTGTCTCTGGAAACACATGAGACACACAGACAACACACACATTCCAGACACACAGGGAAGAGACCAGAACCCATCCCCTACCCAAGGGGATGTCAGACACACAGGGAAGAGACCAGAACCCATCCCCTACCCCAGGGGATGTCAGACACACAGGGAAGAGACCAGAACCCATCCCCTACCCCAGGGGATGTCAGACACACAGGGAAGAGACCAGAACCC